CCTCGATGACGGGCCTGCTGCTGTCGGTGATCATGATCCGTGGTATGCCTTCCTGTGGCGAAGTCGGAATGGTGTACAGTCGGGACGTTGACCTAAGGAACGATAAATAAGGAACGAAGCCCCTTTTTATCCCAAGGGATAACGCATAAGGAACGATACATAATAGATAACGCATTAGGAACTGTAAATAACGCACGGTGTCTGCTCGGATCGTGCCGCGTGCCGTGTGGGCCTGCTGACCGCGTGGCCTCCTGGATGTCGAGGGTGTCGTTCGCTTTGTCGATGAAGTGGTTGGCGACGTCTTTCTGGAGGGGCACGCGTCGCAAACGGCGTCGGGGTGCCGGCTGGATTGCACCGTGTCCCCAGCTTGATGTAGATGAGGATGTCCACGCGCCCCATTCTTGCGTAGTGCGGGTTTGGGAGGTCCTTTCGGTCGTCGGCCACTGCGTACGAGGTGATGGTCCACAGCTGGTGGATGATGAAATGGGTCAGCACCCTCTGGTGGTCGGCCATCTCGAACTCGTTGACAGGTGGATTGGTAGCCTCGCCCGTGTAGTTGTTGATGGATCCTGAAAAGTACGACATTACCTGGTCGTACTCTGCTCGGTGCATCGCGAACGGATTGGCGTTCCGGTCGTAGAGCCCATATGGTTTGTTGATGTTCTTGATGGCCTCCTTGAGAAGCTTGTGAGCGTGGATCTTGAAAAGTGGCGCGGTCGCTGGGGCTTTCGGTGGAGGAGCTCCCTATGGGGCCACGAAGCGTGTAAGGGGTGTGCCGAGTCGGGTGCAGATACGCATGATGGTGATGAGATGAAGGCATCTGCAGGGCAAAAGCACGGGATGGGAAGAGGGAAGAGAAAGAGGAGGAGGAGGAGGAGGAGGAGGAGGAGGAGGAGGACGACGAGGAGGAGGAGGAGAAGGAGACGGAGGAGGAGGAGGAGGAGAGGAGGAGGACGCGGGGCACCAGCACCACGGGGTGGCTGGGAACTGCTTGTCCGGGGAGGCCAGGCCACCGCCCCCCGCGTGGCCCGCCCGCGACGCGCGGCGCCCCGCCTCTCTCGCCGTCGTACGGGTAGATGCTGCTGCTCCGCACGGTCTGGAGGAGGTCGCTGATGGACTCCTGGTCGAGCCTGGCGGCGAGGCGAGAGGCGAGAGACGAGACGAGATGAGACGAGACGCGCGCGTCCGCCGGCAGGCAGGGCCCCTTGGGAGCGGCGCGGGCCGGGCCGAGGCCCGATCCAGCGCGCGCGTGTGCAAAGGCAGTCCTAAGAGGTGGTCCCTCTCTCACCTTGTTCCAGAGCGTCCGGTCTCGACCCGGCAGCGCCACTCCCAAGCCCCCCTCGGGCCACGAGAGACTCACGGGCGGAGGGTTTCTGGCAATTTTCGGTGTCCGGCCTCTGGGGCCCTCTTCGGGTCCCGGGGCCGTCAGAGAACTGCCCAAGAGGAGAACCGAATCGGATCGAGCCGGCCGAAAACGATATCCAGGGGACCAGATGAGAACCCTACCCCTACCCCCCACGATTTCTGAGGGGGAGGGTGGGGCTCACCCGTTCCCCCTCCCCCAAGGTCCCAAATCTTACCAGCCTCGAACGTATCCCGATCCCTAAGATTGACACGCCAAAAGGCGATGACAATCTTAGGGATGCGCCCTCAAAAAATAAGGGAATCCCTAAGATTGGCATCGTGATGAGGAGGTGCCCAGCATAGGGATAGGGATATGTTCCAGGCCGGTAGAAATCGCGCTTGAGGGGTGGGGCGGCGGCGCCCGAGCTCCCCCGCGCGCCCCCTGGGGCCTCCAGAGCCTGCAAGTCCGCCCTCCGTGGCCGCCAAGATCCCCAGGGATGCCTTCTGAGGTGGCTCCAGGAAGAGCGTCCGTACGCCGGGTAGGCCTCCAGGACGCCCAAGAGGATCGCAAGACCGCCGAAGACGCCGAGAGAAAGCCCCAAGAGGACCCTCCCCCCAGAGGGCTTCAAGAAGCAAAATAAGATTGGTTTACCATTGGCTTGCGCATGCTTTCCATATATATATATATATATATATATATATATATATATATATATATATATTCCTTCTACCTATCAAATTACAAGGAAAAACCCGGCATGTCACCGACACCCCCCCCCACATGGACCCCAGATGAACCCCACAGGCCCCCAAGAGAGCCCCACAATGCTTCGAGGCGGCCCAAAATGCCCCGAAGAGAGCGACACGAGGCCTACATCGGGAGCCCAAGACAGCAGAAGGCACTTCCCAGACGTCCTCTGCAAGGCCCAAGAGGCCCCAAGACGGCCCCAGAGTGCTCCAACAGGACCAAACATGGGCTCAAGACGGCCCAGGATGCCCCCGCAAAGACCTCCAATACGGCCTCAGCAGGCCAAAAACCTTAATTTTCCGTTGGTTTTTGAACGACTCTGTGCTTCTCGCCTTTTCTGGCCACGAACGGCCCAAGAATGGTCTGCGAGCTTCGAGGTCGCCCCGAAATGGCCTCCAGGCGGCCCAATGGGGCCCCAAGATGGGCCAATAAAGCGCCAAGAAAGGCAGGGAGCGCCCAAAAGACCCCTAAAAGACCTCCAAGAGGGCCCCAACAGAGCCACGGGATGCTTCAGAGAGGGCCCGAGAGAGCCCCAACACGGTCCCAGGACGGCCCAAGCCCCCCCAGACAGCCCACGAGGGCCCCAGGACAGCCCAAGAAGGCCCTCCGATGGTATACAAAAGCGCCAACAGGAGCTCCACTCAGTCTTAGAGCCGTCAAATTCATTACACTCTGATTGACCTGAGCCGTCGTCCTTGGCTCGGCTGGCCGCGCGCCGAATGGGCCCGCGTGGCAGAGAAGGAAAAGGATCAGGAGGCGGGACGGAGGAGAAAAAGGAGGAAGAGGAAGGAACGGTGAGGATTGCGAGAAACAGGAGGGGCCCCAGGAAGACGGAAGGAGGGCAAGGAGGAGCAGGAGGAGGGGAGGGCAAACGGCGGAAACAGAAGACAGCTTTCACTGGGCCCCGTGCTCTCGCCGAGGCGCCGGCCACATCTCTCATTCAATATCGTGTGGCCGCTTCGCTCGCGGGACTCCCAGCCTCTACCAGGTCAGCATCCCGTCCTCCAGCATGCGGCCGCCGACTTTCCTCTCAATTCTTGACGCTTCGCGTATACCCACCTTGAGTCTGAGTTAGTCGCTCACGCTCGCCCTCTCCTCCTCTCTTGCCACCTGTGTCGCTTGTGGTTTGGCTGGAGCTTGGCGCCGAAACGGCGACTTCTCCCCGCCGTCCCGCCGCCGGTCGCCGCGCCTTGGCGTCCCCACCCGCTGGGATGTCTGTGCCGGTCTCCTGGCGCTTAATGTGGGTCATTTTGTCCCTTGCATGTGCATACGCCTCTGCGGCCAATTATCTTCGTTCCGCGCCCCGAACGCTACCCCGCTTCTTGACCTTCGCCAGGGAGCCGCCAACCAAAAAAAGTATCCTCACCTTGATCACATGGTCGCGCTGTACGCGTCCTCGCTTGTGGCTGGCTGGAGCTTGGCGCCTACAGGGCGACTTCTCCCCGCCGTCCCGCCACCGGTCGCCGCGCCTTGGCGTCCCCACCCGCCGGGGTGTCTGCGCCGGTCTTTGGCGTCTAATGTGGGTCATTTTGTCCCTTGCATGTGCATACGCCACTGCGGCCAATTATCTTCGTTCTGCGCCCCGAACTCTGCCCCGCTTCTTGACCTTCGCCAGGGAGCCGCCGACCAAAAAAGTATCCCCACCAGCCCGTCCAGAATTGATTGCCAGCTTTCCCGAGGCCTGTTGGAGGCTATCCTGAGCCATGCTCGGCTAGAGTCTGTCGGAAGCTATTCTGAGCCATGCTCGGCTATGTCGGGCCATATTCAGGCTTTCTTGAGGCCTCTTGGAGATCTGTCGGAGGCTATATTGAGCCACGCTTGGCTATCTTGGGCCATTTCGGAGGCCATCTTGGGCTATCTAGGGCTCTCTTGGAGCCATCTTGGGCCAAAAAGGGCGGGGTGGAGAATCTTCAGGAGAGGCTGGGAGGCCTTTCGGGGCCGTCTTGGGCCCCATTGTTCAAAAAGAGCGGGGGTCCTCAATTCAGGTCCCCCCCTCGGAGGCTCTCAAACGGCGTCTTGGGGACGTGTTGGAGCGCTCTTTGGAAGCCTCTTGGGCGATCTTGGGGCCGTCTTGGGCCTTCTTGGGCCCCTCTTGGGGCTCTTTTGGGCCATATTGGGGCCATCTTGATGCCTCAGAGACCCATCGGAAGCGAAATGACGAGAATGCCAAACACATGGACTTTCTTAAGCTTTTGAAGGGTTCTGGCTTCTTGGAGGGCGCCGTGGAGGGCTCGAAGGGCACTTGGATCCGTCTTGAGGACTCTTGGAGGTGTGTCGGAGGCTATATTGCCATCTTGAGGTATCTTGGGCCATCTTGGAGGCCATCTTGCGACTTGGAGCGCCTCTTGGAGCCATCTTGAGCCGTCTTGGACGCTCTAACGCCTCCATCCCCCCCCCCTCCAGGTCCAGGGGAAGGTTACCCCTCCCCCGAGCAGGGGAAGGAAGCGGAAGAGAGAAGACCAAACTCGTTATACCACCGTAGCCCTAAAGGGCTGGTGGGACTTCCACCTATAGACTTCCAGCCTCCATCAGCTCAGCACTCCGACCTCTAGCGTCCGGCATCCGACTTTCCACCTTCGCCTCCACTCAAGCGTCCACCAACGCTGCGCCCTGAGCCCCGCCCCGGGCGCTACCGCGCACTCGCCTCGCCTCGCCTCCGCTCGCACAATTCCCACACACCTCATTGAACAATTGTGTTCTCGCCCGCGCCCAGAAACATCGTAGGTGCAAGGATCAAGATTAGAAGGCGAAGCGCAGCGAGCCTTAAAATCTTGTATATATATATATATATATATATATATATATCCGCGGTCTCCGTTCTCTGGCGCCAGCGCGGTCAGGACGGCCCAGAAGGCCCCCTGGAATGGCCCAAACCGGCTCGAGAGGCCCTCAAAACGGCACGCAGACGGCCAAAAGAGGGACCCCCAAAAACGGCCACGGAGGCCTCCAGACGGGAACCAACAAAAACGGAACGTGGCCCTAATTACGTGAGGCCCAAGAGACGCCCAAGGAGGGGGGGCACCCGCAGAGGCTCTGGGGGGCCCTCCCCCCGAAGGTGCCCCCCAAGACCCCAAACTGGCTTTTTAAGTCGGGCCTGTCCCCCCTACAGAGGGGTTTTCGACTGGCTTTTACGAAAATGTTAAAAAATACACCAACAAGAATCAAAACATATCCCGAGAATAATCCGGGGATTAGTTGGGGGGTATTTTTGTTGACCTTTTTGAGGTACTTTGGGGCTTTTTGCATTTTTCGTCGAAAATCCCCCTGTAGGGGGACACGCCCGACATAAAACTGGCTCCAAGCGGCCCCCAAACAGCCCCCGAGGGGAGCCCCCCGGCCCTCCCCCGGCGGCCTCGGCAGAGCTCCCGGAGGCCGCCGCCGGGGCCGCCGGCAGGCCCCAAACCTTCCATCAGCTCCAGGAGGCTTCGAACAGACGCCCAAATGATGCCCAAGAACAAAAATGTTTGGGGGATGGTTTTGGGAGGATTCAACCAAATGCCCAAATAATGCCCAAAAACAAAAATGTTTGGGGGATGTTTTTTGGGAGGCTTCGAACAAATGCCCAAATAATGCCCGCCAGAGGCTCCCGATCATTCCCCAAAACATCCCCCAGCTACAGGAGGGTGGTCTCGAGCAGCGCCCGGACAACATCACAAGCCGTCCTGCTGTGCAATCGATATATCCTTCTCCTTTTCGTCCTCCTTCTCGCCGTCGCCGTCATCTACCTCATGATGTCCCTCACTCCCCCTCGTTATACGAAGGATGAGAAAATGGTAGCGACCATCTGCGACGCCACTCCGGGACCGTCTCGCTGCATGCGCGACGCGCAGCATGCCTCAGTGCTCCCTCCCGAGACGCGCAGGACAAGTGAGCCCCATGCGCGGAGCAGCGGGTGCTCGGCGGCCACTCCCCCCACGCACGTGGGCACTTCAAGGGCATCCGGCAGAAAAGAGCAGCCGGCAAGCGCCCAGGAAACTCCGACAAGGCCCACCAAGACGCCCACCAAGACGCCCACAAGGCCTCACTTCGCCCCGGGGTCGGCTTAGGTCGGGCCTGTCCCCCTGCAGGGGGACTGTGGGCGAACCCAATCAAAAAACCCTAAAGTACTCCTTAGTGGTCAAAAACAATCAAACAATCGCCCCCTATCTGTTGGCTCTTTTTGGATATTCCTCCTGTAAAGGGACAAGCCCGACTCAACGGGACGATCTGGGAGTACCCTCCTGAACACCTTCGGCGTGGCGCAGCTGCCGGACCGCATCACGAGGCCGGAAAGATACCCCAGGAATCGACGACAACGCCTGGAAAACCTCGAACCCCAAACCTCCCCTGGCGTCCCCGCTCCCAGGGCCACGATCCATCATAAGTTACTCTGCGTTCGCTCTCCCAGGGCCACGATCCATCGTAAATTACACTGCGTCCGCTCTCCCTGGGCCACGATCCCTCGTAAACTGCACTGCGTCCACGCTCCCAGGGTCGCGCTCCCTCGAGAATTACCCTGTGTCCGTGCTCCCAGGGCCACGCTCCCGAGTGAATAACGCTGCGTTCGGGCTCCCAGAGCCACCTGGGCATCCTAGTCGAAGACGGAGGCGGAGTCGAAGTCGGAGATGGAGTCAGAGTGCGGGTCGGAGTCGGAAACGGGAGATGTCGGGAGGGGGGTCGGAGTCGGAGTCGGAGCCCGAGCCGGAAACGGAGTCGGAGACGGAGTCGGAGCTGGAGGCGGAGTCGGAGCCAAAGAAGTCGGAGTCGGAGTCGGAGTCGGGGTCGGGGTCGGCGCCGGAGTCGGAGATGAATAAATTGAAGCCAGAGTCCGAATCGGAAGCCAGGGCCCACGTAGCAGCACTGGCACGGCGTGTCCTCGAACCAGCACTGGCACTGCCCAGAGCAGCTGGAGTCGTGGCGGCTGACTCGTCGGTGTTGATGCCTTCCAAACAGCACTGCGGGGGCAGCTGGAGTCGTAGACGATCGGTTCGGCGGTGTTGATGCCGCGCAGACACTTGCTGGGGCAGCTGGAAACGTAGACGCTCGGCGCGGAGGTGCTGATGCCCTCGAGGCGGCGCTGACCGATGTAACTGGAAACGTAGGCGACGGCGCGGCGGTGTTGATGCCATCGCTCGAATCAGCGTTGGCTGGGGCAGCTGGAATCGAAGACGAACGGTACGGCGGTTTTGATGCTCATGAGGCGCTGACGGGGCCGCTGGAAACGTAGACGGTCAGCTCGGCGGTGTTGGTACCCGCGGCGACGTTGACCGCGGCAACTGGAAATGCAGACAACCAGGCCGGTGCTGATGATGCCCTCCACCCGCTCGTTGCAACCCTCCTTGCCGCCTGGCACGGCGTGTCCTCGAATCCGTACTGGCCGGGGCAGCTGGAGTCGAAGACTATCAGCACGGCGGCGTTGATGCCTTCCAAGTTGGTGCGCGTGCGACCTCGCCATGAGGCCCTCCCATGGCAGAGGCAGCTCCGGCTGCAAACTGACGCGCGGAGACGGGTGCCTTACCGGAATGGCGGGACGTGCACAGTCAACCCGTCTAAGAAGGACGCACGGTACTCTAAACTTCTGCTTCATCAGGGGGGGGGATAAGCGTGAAAACGCGGCGCGGCCAACCTCCCCGCACCCCCTGGCGCTGCCCACCGAATCCGAACCCCCCCCCCGCACGTGCGCGGACGTTCTGAAGCCAACAACCCCTTGCACGTGAACCCTGGGCGCGTTGGACTCCAAGCCCCCCGCCCTCACCCGCGTGCCCTCGCCTCTCCCCCCGTGTCTCTTGCGTCCGATGTCCATCGTTCTTTCCTCAAGGCCCTCCTGCTCCTGTTTTGTGATCTGTTTCCTGTCCTGGCGCGCTCGTTATCTCTCCCATTCTGCCGCCGCCGCGCCGCTGCTACTGCTGGCCTGTGCGGGGGCAACCGCCGCTTTGGCTGCCGCCGCCTTGGCCGCCGCGGCCTCCATGTTCGCCCTCGTGGTAGCGAGGCCCTTCTGGATTGCCACCTTCTTCTTGAAAACTACCACCGCCTTCGCTGTCTTTTTGCTTCCTTCTTTTCGAGTTTCTTTATTGACCTTGGCCTTCAAGGCGTGGTCGTAAGTATCCTCGTACACCCCGCCCTCCAATTTCCCACCATCTTCGATCAATGTGGTTAGCGCTGTTTTGGTCGCCTGCTTGAGAAGGCCATGCCACGGCCTTGAGCCAGGGCTTGAGCCAAGGGCGACGGACAAACACACATCCACACAGACACACACACACACACACTCACACACTCTCACACACACACACGCACACACGCACACACGCACGCACGCACGCACGCACGCACGCACGCACGCACGCACGCACGCACGCACGCACGCACGCACGTTCGCACACACACACACACACACACCCACGCACGCACGCACGCACGCACGCACGCACGCACGCACGCACGCACGCACGCACACACGTATGTTTGCTCGGCGTCGCGGCCCTGCGCGCAGCGACAGAGCGGAGAAAGTCTGGAACGGCAATCGCGTGCGCATCACACACGCACACACACACACACACACACACATACGAAACATCACCTTTTTGATTCCCGAGCATGGGAAGCCATGCGCGGGAGGCGCGAGAGGACGAGAGCACGTCGTCGAGGGAGGAGGGGCGATCGGTATCCACCAGGGGGAGGCAGCAGAGAGAGGTGAGGAGGGAGGAGAGAAGACGGCATGGGCGAGGAGAGGCAGCAGGGGAGCACTGGCATCGTGAGGGAGCGGGGCCGTGAGGGGAGAAGGGCCCTGGACCCGGGAGCTCTCCCCGGAGCCAATCCCCCCATCCCGAGTCGGAACCTGGCGGCCCTCGGGCCCAGGAAGGGCCCCGAGGCACCGCACACGGCGGAGAGACCACTGGAGCCCTCGCCCTCAGAGCCCTCCTCCTGTGGACCACGACCCCGAGAAGAGCCCCCCCCCCCGATAGAGTCCAGCCGCAGCGACGAGGAGCCCCCCATGGAGGCCCAGAAGGACCCCAGAGCCTCGACCTTCGATCCTCCATCCTCTCTCCGCGGTGAGGCGCGGGAGCGGCGGCGGTGGCGAGGGGCAGCGGCGACGGGCTCCGAGGGGGGCGGGCGTCGTCCTCGCCGACGCCGCCGCCGCCGCAGCCGTCGCCGCCGCCGTCGAGGGGCGCGGTCGCCCTCGACGCCCTCGCGAAGAGCCTGCTGTCGGACGTGTCGTCATGAAGAAGACAGAAACACGATAAACATAAACTTGTGGCGCTCCGTGTGGACGTCTTGGATCCGCGCTGGACCCCCCTCCCTGGCACGCGGAGCGCGCCAGGAGCGGCGCCGGAGGCGCCGCTCGGGGAGCCCAGCGCGGATCCAAGAATTCCGCGAGGAGCGCCAAACGCTTATGCTTATAGCGTTATTTCTTCTTCTATAGTCGCAGCTGCTGCCACCATCGTGCCCGTCGCAGCCGTCGCCACTGTCGCAGCCGTCGCCGCCGTCGCCGCCGCCGTCGCCGTCGCCAACCATGTCCTCCGACGCTGCATCTTGTTATAGTGGCGTCGGCCCCCGTGGCTGCGACCACCTCCCCAAGGCAAGACCTTCCGTTCCTCCTGGGCCGCTGTTTGACGGCCCCGGGGCCAGGAAGAAGGTGAAAACGACGGAAAGCTGGCCGTCAAAAATTGCTGTTGCGCCGCTCGTGGTTGCCCCCGTCTACGTGGGGTCCGAGCAGGTGGAGTCGGAGGATCGCGCCGCATCGCCAATGCATCGCCAATGCATCGGCGATGCATCGGCGATGTCTGGCGCGGAGCCTGGACTGGGCTACCGCGCGAGGAGAACCAGGAGGCGGACGATCTCAGCAACGGGAAGACGTTGGACTTCGACGAGTCCCTCAGGATCCACGTGGCGGCCGCGGACCTGAAGTGGCACGTGCTCGACGAGATCACGCAGGCCCCCCCGGAGCTCTGCGCGCCGATCTCGTCGAGGCGAGGACGGCCGCCTCATCGCGCCGCGGTGCGAGATGCATCGGCGATGCCACGCCAACGCTTCTCGAACGACGCTGGCCAGCGAAAGTCGCCAGGGGTGGGCCGAATGGGGCAAGGATGCGAGGGCAGCCTTGGAGAGTCGCTCCTACCCTTACTGTGCGGGCCGACAGTCTAGGTCTCGTCGCCCGGCGCGGAGGCCGCCGCAGCCGGCGCCGCCTGTTGTCGGACAGGTGCAGCTCCTGGATCGGTGGCCCCCCCTCTGGACCCCGCGCGAACAGCCGGTTCAGCGACTCGGCGGCGGCCTGGCCGAGCCTGGCGCCGCGGCAGCGGGGGCCGAGCGGAGGGACAGCTGAGCTCTGCCACCGGCCCTCTCGAGGGTCGCGGGGGATTGTCGTCTGGGCGGGGGGGAGAAGGGAGGAGGAGGAGGAGAGGAGGAGGAGGAGGAGGAGGAGGAGGAGGAGGAGGAGGAGGAGGAGGAGGAGGAGAGGAGGAGGAGGAGGAGGAGGAGGAGGAGGAGGAGGAGGAGGAGGAGGAGGAGGAGGAGGGAGGAGGGAGGAGGAGAGGAGGAGGAGGAGGAGGAGGAGGAGGAGAGGAGGGAGGAGGAGGAGGGAGGAGGAGGAGGAGGAGGAGGAGGAGGGAGGAGGAGGAGGAGGAGAGGGAGGAGGGAGGGAGGAGGAGAGGAGGAGGAGGAGGAGGAGGGAGGATAGGAGGAGGAGGAGGTAGAAAGAGAGAGAGAGAGAAAGAGAGCGAGAAAGGGGAGGAGGTCCAGATCGAGGGGGGAGGTGCCCGCCACTCCTGCCGAAAGGACCAGGAGCTCATCCGAGGCCACCGCGCGCAGCGCCCGGCCAGGCCCCACGACGCGCGCGGTCAGGCCGCCTCCGGGCCAGCGCGTCGCGATCACGATCGGGCGGGCGACGAGCATCACAGGGAGCGGGATCAGGGTCGATAGCCTCCTCCTCCTCCTCCTCCTCCTCCCTCCCTCCTCGTCCCCCCCTCCTCCTCTTCCTCCTCCTCCTCCGAGGTCCTCCTCCTCCTCCTCCGAGGTCCTCCTCCTCCTCCTCCTCCTCCTCCTCCTCCCCCTCCTCCTCCTGGGCCTTTGATACAGATCGCCCTCGCACGCGCGAGAGCACAGAGCAGCCGAGGCAGACGGGGCGCCGGGCGCAGGAACAGCGGGAGAGCGCGACTCTCTCGGAGGGCTTCGGGCCACTCCCCTCCCGTACCCTGTGCCGCCCCCCGTGCGCCCCCCTCCCTGGACCAGCAAACAGAGACGACACCACCCCACCTGAGGCCCCAGGGGGCTGAGCGTGTGCCAGGGACATCTGGCGTGGGTTCTTGCGTGGTGTACGCTGCGGCGCCCGCTGGGCCGTAACGCAACATGGAGGGCCGCAGGTGGGGTGATGTCGTTGGCTTGTTGGTCGATCCCCCCAGACCTCAAACCAGACCTCCGAGCACCCGGCTGCCTCGAGTCGCTGGCTGGCCCATGGGGCTCTCGGCCCCGTGAGTCGCGCTTTTGACGGCCGCGGGCCCCAGAAGCGGCCTCCTGACGCCGAAAACAAAGAAACGCGCGCGCACACACCACACCACACCACACCACACCACACTACACCACACCACACTACACCATACATTCACATTCACATTCACATTCACATTCACATTCACATTCACATTCACATTCACATTCACATTCCCATTCCCATTCACATTCACATTCACATTCACATGCACGTGCACATGCACATGCACATGCACATGCACATTCACACACACACGCACGCACATTCACACACAACCACACACGCACACACACACACACACACATCACACCAGAAGCACAAGAAAACACTCCATATCCCAAAACACGCTGGCGGCGGCGAGCGTTCCCAAGCACTCGCATGCGCTCTCGGGCTTTCCCCCCCCCCCCCCCCCGGGCACTCGCAAGCGCTCGCAAGCGCACTCCCAGGCGCTCCCAGGCGCTCGCACGCGCGCGCCTCCGCTCGCCCCGAAGGGGGGGCACCCGCGAGCGCCCGCGGGCGCGCGCGGGCGCCCCCGGGCGGCGTCGGAGCTCGCGGGCTCGTGCGAAGAAGCAGGCGCGGGAACCGCCAACAGACTCGCGGCGGGCTCGCCGGCCAGCACCGACTCCAAAAAAGTGCTGGCGGCGGAGGAGGGGAGAGCCCAGGCAGTGCTGCAGCGAACGCCGAAGGCGCTGGGGTGATGCACGTACGCGCACACACACACACACACACACACACACACACACACGCACGCACGCACGCACGCACGCACACACACAGCGCGCGCGCGCTTCTTGACGTCGCGGCCCCGCGCGCGGCGACGCGGCGGGACGCGCGCGTCTGCGCCCGGCCGAGCTCTCAGAGGCCACTCGGGGCCCCGCAGTGCCACACACCTTCTCTTCCTCCCCGAGCGTCCCACCCTCCACAGGGGAGAAGAAGGCGTAGAGTCTTGTCGGTAGAAGACACTCGTCGGGAATCAGAAGCCCTGCCGACTTCTGAGAAGGACAAGTGCCGTGTTGGGAGGGGGCTGGGAAGATGCAGGGTGCGACCGTGTCAGAAGCACATTCGAGATTCGCGATCATACTGACGAGCTGATCATTCCTCCCAGCCCCATCCTCCCAAGTCGACAGTTGTCCTTCTGAACCTCTAACAGCGGTACCATCCAGCCAAGTAGGCGCTGGAGCCCTCGCAGTGCCACACACAGTATGACAGAAATATGAACATAAACACGCACACACACACACACACATTCACACACACACACACACACACACACACACACGCACACGCACACACGCACACACACACGCACACTTTCTCCTCTCCAACGGCCGAACGACGCCACCACAGCGAGAGCCAGAATGGGCCACGAATTCGCCGAACTCCACACGGCGCAGCGAGTGGGTGACCGCGCGGGGGCAAGCGTACAAACACACAGACACACAGACACACAGACACACACACACACACATACACACACACACACTTTTGTTTACGTCGCAGCGCGGCAGAGGCAATCTGCTCGCGCGCCCATGCACCACCCACCCACACACACAAACACACCTGGCGCGATCCTTCCTGGCCGCCAGGAGTCATGGCCCCCCCCCCCTCCGACGGGCCGCCACGGGGCCTGTTGTGCTGCAGGGACAGCTTCGTCGGGAACGCGTCGCAGTTGAGCGCCCAGTCCACCACGTAGCCCACGTCCACGTCCTCCAGGCGGTTGCGGCCCAGCTCCAGAGTGCAGCGGCCGATGGCCGTCTGCTCATCCGCCTTGCTGGGGTCCCGGCCTCCACCGTCGGGGGGAGGGCGGCGGGAGGAGGGCACGGCCGAGACAATCGGAGCAGGGACGACGGCGGCTCTGGACCTGGAGCGCCCCTGGGGTCCTCCCTCGGGTTCGTCCCGAAGGCCCTCGGAGAGCCGCTGCTCGTGGCGCCCAGAGCCCGGACAGCGGGCCAGTCAAAAGCGCGTGGGAAGCCTCTGGGAAATGGCTGCAAGGACGCTTGACAGGGTGCCTGGGGAGCATGCAAGCCGGAGACAGAGATTCTGCAGGAGCCCAAGAAGAGCTCCGAAGGAGTTGCGGAAAAGGCTTCCCGGAAACGTAGTGGGAACGAGCAGCAAAACGCTCTCGGGACACGCTGCAGCCTCAAGCGATTCGCTGCGGCGTTGCGTGACCGGCGCCGGAAAGAGCTCCAAAAGTTCTCGGGTTCGTCCCGAAGGCCGTCGGATAACCAAATCGCCGGGATCAAAAACTGGCTTCACTGAATCATATGGCGGGTTCAAAAAAACCTTGAAGCAAAAAATCGTGCCACCTCTTTTGGGGGGCCGCTGGTTACTTCCGCTAGCTTCCGCCGCTTTACGCCGAGGAGATATCAAATCATGGGTCCTCGAAGGCGAGGCCCTTTCTTTGCTGCCTCATGTGCAGTAGAAGCTCGACCACGAGAAATCTTCCACAAGAAACCCAACCTTGAGCCCCCAGGATGTCCATTGATTTTGGGTGTGGAAACGTCACGCTTCCCACAGCAGAACCATCGAAACCCAAGAAACCCAGAGCACCCTGGAGGCAAGCAGGGCGTTTCTTGGTATGAGCTCCCCATGTAAAAGCTGATTGTGGGAAGACGTGGGAACTGTATGCGTCCGGGTGGCTGCGGGAACAGGGCGGGCGAGGAAAGGCGAAGAGAGGCAGCAAGAAGGGAAGGAAGACGGGGGAGAAGACGAGGAGGAAGATGTGAGGAAAAGGAGAAGGAGGAGGAGGAGGAGGACAGAGACAACTGCAAACCGAAGATTCATCAACGAAGTTTCAACAAACCCTACCTCCAAGTTCCCTTATCACAGGTCCCTGCAAAGACTCATTCTCACTGGGGGGAAGTGCACCGTCGGAAGACAGCTGTCTGAAAATCCTGACCGCGCCAGAACACCAGTCCTGGGACTCCAACGCCACGAATCAATATTACTGTTGCGCCCTGACGATCCTGCATCGTGCCAGAGCACAACTCTAGGAACTTTAACACCACGAATCAACATAATTGTTGTGCCCTGAAGGTCCTACATCGTACCAAAACAGAGCTTCTGGGACGTCAATCATAAGACTCCTCGAATACGTAGACACTTCTTGAGACGAGTGTGCGCGGCGCTCAGGCGAGAGCCACATTTCAAAAGGCTACCATTCTCCATCCGCGAAGGCCCCGCAAACTTTTAGGACGAATGCGCGCGGAACTACAGCGAGAACCACATTTTCAAGACGGCCCGCGCTCCATCCGTGAAAATCTTGCAAATTTCTACGACGACTATGTGCGGCGCTATGGCGAGAGCCACATTTCGAAACCGGCCCGCCTTCCACCTGAGAAACTGTTTCACACCATAAGATTCAGGATCGGAAGCGGTGAGGAAGCCTCCAGCGAAACGCCTGGCCCGCCCTGTCGACCGGCCTCGGGGTGCGACGGGGACGAGCTGTTTTTTTTTATATATATATATATATATATATCTATAGGGATACGGCATCGAAGGCGAAGAAAAAGAGGACGAGGGCAAACACCAGCAGGAAGAGGGAAACATGGGAAGCAGGAGCAGCAGCCTGAACAGGAGGAGGAGGAGGAGGAGGAGGAGGAGGGAGAGGAGGAGAGGGAGGAGGAGGAGGAGGAGGAGGAGGAGGAGGAGGAGGAGGAGGAGGGCTACGACGCACGACCGATGACCTCGTCGCTCCCGCGCACGGGCCGCAGAAACAGCCGCTACAGTGCCTCATCGCCAAAGCATGATATGCACTGGCCGCGGGCGGCCGATCCCATGCTTCACTGATAGGCCACAGGAGGCGAAGGAGAAGGAGGAGGAGAAGGAGGAGGAGAAGGAGGAGGAGGGAGGAGGAGGAGGAGGAAGAGGAGCAGGGAGGAGGAGGAGGAGGAGGAGGAGGAAGAGGAGGAGGGAGGAGGAGGAAAAGGAGGAGGAGGAGGAGGAGGAGGGAGGAGGAGGAGGAGGACAAGGGTAGTAAACCCCAAAATGCGTCATCAGTGCTGCAATACACCCTCCCGTCCCAAGTCCCCCCCTCACGAATCCATCCAAGCCGTCCTTTCCTCATCAGTGAGCGCCGCTTTGAAAATCCCCGAATCCCGAGCCCCCTCCTCATGAGTCCCTCCAAGCCTCCCTGTCCACCTCAAGAAGCGCCACCTTGAAACACCAAGACTTCAGGGGCCTGCCACTCAGGCGAGAGCCAAGTCTTGAACAGAAGCGAAGGGCACCGCATCCTCGCAGCGAGTAGAAGCGTTTTGAGGGGAACTTTTACTGAAGACGAAGGCAGCGAGGTTTCGCATGACGTCGGTTTCACGAAACGCCTCCCTCGGAGGCAACACTACTAAAAGCTTGGGTTCACGACAGCGCACATGTATTATCATACAGTTCAGAGAAGTGTCCAGCGAGGTCCCCGTTCTGGCCAAGACCGCCCACATGTGCAACTCTTGCACAGGTTTCCACGTATGGCCATGAGCGCCGAGGAAGTCTCAAGCGAAAACCCAAGTTTGAAAAACATCCGCCCTCTACCAATGCAGATGCTGCGTCTGTTTTTTTTTGTTTTGTTTCTACTGGCTCTAACTCAAAAAAGTCTCAAGCGAAAGTCCCGTGTTGGACAATAACCGCCCGCAAAACATGTGTAAGTGTTGCTTGAAGGCTTAAACGAGTGTGCGCGACGCCTAGGCGAGAGCTCTACTTTGAAAAGGAACTTCTCCCTGCTGCTACCAAACGAACGCGCGTGGCGCTCCAGCGAAAACCCAATGTTGAAAAGGAACTGGTCTCCATCCTTCGAACTGCTGCACGCGTTCAAAACAACGACGCGCGGTGCTAACACGAGAACCGGATTTTGAGAACAACCGGCCCCCTCAATCCTTAAAACTGCCGCAATCGTAAAAAAAACTCGCGGCGCTAAGGCGAGAACCACATTTTGAAAGCGTTCCCCTCCCCCATCCGGAAAAAATACTGCGAGCTTGTCAGAAGAGTGCTCGTAGCGCTTGGGCCAAGGAGAGACCCACAATTTGAAAACGACCCGCCCTCCTTCCTTGAAGCTGTTGCAAATATCATGTTTCAAGATCACGAGTGGTGGGGAAATTTCAGGCGAAACGCCCGGCCCGCCCTACCAACACGCCCGGGAGTGCGACGGGGAGGAGTGATCTAGGAATGGAACGAGGCAAGTTGCTCTACGTTGTGGGCCTTCTAGCGGCCCTCCGGAGCATAGACTCTCGACGTCACACACGATATGCTAGCTGAGCTTGGCATGTCCTGGCTTGGCGTGGCCGTTGCTGGTTCGACTCTTGCTAGGCATGGCACGGCTTAAGTTAGCATGGCTGCGCGTCTGCGAGCACAACTCCTCTGCACCCAGAACCGGGCCCACGCTTAGAGGCAACTCAACTTGCACTTGAAAAGAGTACCTGGCAGTGGCTGAGCTTCTGATTGTACAGCAAGTTTGCTCGGTGGCGCAAAGAAGAAACCATAGCTTGGCTGGCGCAACTTAGCTCCACGTGGAACAGGGCATACTGGCTTAGGCTAATTTGACATAACTTGACTTGCACCAGCCTGATTGCGCACTGCTGAGGAAGCCAACCTGGCACTCAGGGGCTGACACGCGCTATATCCGAAAGAAACACAGCAGTGTATAACGATTTCCATGTTCTGTGGTGCACTCTCTTTTTTGTTTGCCCGATGGTTTCCATTGCGCGGCGATGTGCTTGATCCTTGCTTGAAATTTGTGAGGCAATTGCGCGGGGAAGGCCAGAAGCTGAAAGGAGAACGTGGAGGCGGAGGAGTATGAACAGATAGAAGGAGAGAAAGAAAGAGAAGAAATTAAGAGAGGGAGGGAGCGAGGGAAGTACGACGAGAGGACGGGATGCGAGTGAGAGTGTCCAATGACTGAATCACCAAACTAAGCCATCGCAGAACTTCTCCAGCGACGTCGGGGAAAAAGGCGGAAGGAGGCGACGAACCGAAGCCTCTGCATGCTGTCTGTGCTCGGAGTGCGCGGCGACGGCCAGCGAATGAAGACCGCGTTCACGCAGGGGGGGTGAATCCCACGTACACGGAGGAGGAGGAGGAGGAGGAGGAGGAGGAGGAGGAGGAGGAGGAGGAGGAGGAGGAGGAGGAGGAGGAAAGGGAGGAGGAGAAACGAAGCCACCAGAATACCGCCCATGCCTGCACCACCGACTGAGAACACGTGTATGCTCGTACGCTGGCCAGGACGATGCGAGATGCAGAGCGGCAGCGCGTCGATCGCCAGAGCTTCCACCAAAATTGACCACCAAGAAGCAGCAACGTGCGATAAGAACGATGACCAACGATGCGTAAGTTGCAGAGCGGCGCAGTAGCCGATCCCCAGAGCTCTCAGACCACTAGCCAACAACAGCATGCGAGTGTTGAAGAATCCCACCTATCCAGCACGCTGAAGTACGCCCACGTGGCAGGGAGGAGGGCTTGATTGGGCTCGGAGCCCGCAGAACCTTCTACGACCTGCAGCCTGGGGCGAATTTTGAGGAGATGGACGAGGAGAAGGAGGTCCAGGTCGAGGGGAGGGGGGAGGTTTTTGGACGCTCGTTGTTCTTACCGATCCTCCCGAGGACTTCGGAGGTCTCAGGGGTCAGGAGAGAGGAGGGGAGCAGGAGGACCCCCCCATAATACTTCATGCTGCAAACAGTGAGGAATCCCAACGTGCTCGCCTTAAGTCTGCACGTGGACGAAGAGGATCGTTATGAGTCATCGCGCCAAAGCGGATAGCTCGGCTTGCTTCGACGAACGCGCTTTCTGTCATGATGTGCCG